TCTGGCCCTCACCTTGATGCTCCCCCGCCTCAGGACGACGCTCAGGGCTGGGATAGCGCGCCGCCGGATGACTATCTTGCCGCCGCCGGCCGACTTGTTGCTGTCCAGGACGCCGAGCCCGTGCAGCAGCATCCCCGGGACCAGCACCAGCGCACCATCTGGCCGCCAGTCCAGCCCGTCGGGGTCGCCGTCGAGGAGCACGCCCGAGCACGAGCGGCCACCGCAGCGCACGAGCAGCGCGTGCCGCCCGACCGCGTCCAACTGCCGGCAGAAGAAAACAGGGGTGAGGACAGAGTAAGGCAACCATCAGGCGTGGGGGGCACAGTGCCTATCGAGACGAAAAACGCCTGACGACCATAGCGGGTAGGCAACAAAAACTCACGCGCGTGGAGCACAGTGCCTATCGAGATGAAAAACGCCTGACGACCAGGCGGTAGGCAACCAGAACACACGCGTGTGGGGCATAGTGCCTATCGAGACGAAAAGCGCCTGACGAACAGAGGGTAGGCAACAGAGCGGTACACGCGCGGGGAGCACCGTGCCTATCATGGATGAGAGCACAGTGGAAAATATCGTCGGAAATTTACAACATTTTTGTAAACTCGAATTATAATCTACGTTGTAAATTTACGACAGCAGATTTCTTTACTCGCCAATGGATTTTAAGTCGATATGTACTGCATGTATTTTTTATGATTTCAAATAGTAATTTTACAACTTGCGTCAAGGAAAATTTTCCTGTAAACCTACCTACTGTTTTTTACAGTGAGAGCCTCATGACTAGAGAGCGTACCCAACCACAATTTTCCGAGAGCGTGGGGTACTGCTTACAGAAACTTGTCGATGATGAAACGCCCGCCTAAGGTCGGGTAGGCAACCCAATCGCCACGCACATGAGGCAACGTGCCTACCTCGAGCTCGAGTAGGCGCGCCGTGCGCGAGGCCAAGAGGCCGGCTACCAGAAGGGAAATGGGGGGGGGGGAAGGGGGAGTATTAATGTTCACGGTCTAATTGGTGGTTTTCTTGGACACTTGGAAGTGTGAGACAGGAAGCCACTACCCAAACTGAAGAGGTTGCAGAGCTTGAAAATTTAGCTTCGTGATCCGAGAAAGACATACCTAAGCTCTGAACTTACGTGAAGAGGGTCGGAGGCGGGGCCGGGGAGGGGGGGTGGGGGGCATGAAGAGAAAAAGTGGTGCAGACGTGGTGGAGATGCGGTCCTGGGGTAGGCTGTGCCGTGCAGCACCGGCTAACTGTCTAATCTGATTCAGTTTATGAGGACAGTACCCTTACTCGCTCTTTCTCTCTTGGCGTACGTTTGCACGGCTGTGCGGGAGTGAGACGCAAACTCCCCAAAAAGTATGCCGCGTGACAGCACGACTACGACGTAGAGGAAAACGGAAATCTGGCAGCCACACCAAGATGAGGGAGAGGGAGAGGGTGGGAGGGCGAGAGAGGGAAAGAGAGAGGGAAAGAGAGAGGGAGAAAAGAGAGAGGGAGAGGGGGGAGAGAGAGAGACGAGACTAGCAGCGCCGTGTAGTCTGCGAGATCACACGAGGGCACGGCACGGCACGACACAGGGATGCTTGCCAAAACGCGAGAAAAAAAAAAGAAAGAAAAAGAAAACCAGAGAGGCCAGACAGAAAGATGATACCGATGTGGTGCGTATTTGAATCAAACGATAGAAGTGGAAACACGCCGAATAATTTCTCCCCAAAATCTATGTGAGCGCAATATAGCGTATACGGCTCCGACGACGTCCGCGGCACCCGCTTCCTGCTCCTGCTCCACTGCCCCACCCCAACACGAGTCTGATTGGCTCCACTGGTCCACCCTGGTCCATTCCTTTACTGGAAAAAACAGGTGTGACACATACATCACACTCTTATGAG